GAGAAAAAAAATTGAGTACTGCGGTTTTTTGATAGAAAGTGTTTTTTGAAGTTTATGAATTCAAAAAAAAATTTTATTTTAATTCTTCAAATCGTTAAGGTTTTTCTGGTCCGTGATTTCTAGGAAAAGGATTTTTCAAATCATCTGTGTAAATCTTATAAATATTTTTTAAATATTTACTTTAATATATTTTTCAATTTGAAATGATCGGAAACCGTAAGGCTTTAATACAGTAAGCCGAATTAAATTTGATGTCAACAGAGATGGCGCTACGCTAACCTTACGACTGTATCTGAAGATGCTATCTTTCCGGCGTCTGTGCACTGAAATCGTATTTTTGAGCCTTATTAGATTCTGTGGACTGCTTTGTTTTGAGAATACAGACCTGAAGTTCTGCAGTATCTCCTCCTCGTCAATCTCTTCAGAAAGAAGTCAAGTATGAATGAGGAGAAGACACATCGGCGTTAATTAAGGTGGGAAGACTGACTTGTTTATATTGTTGTATTTGCAGAAATGGCACCAAAAATGTGGGCTATGCTCGTCCTTTGCACTTTCGTTGCAAATGCTTTTGCATCACAAAACTTTGTAAGTTGTTTATTTTGCAGTTTGTTCTAAATTCTACTTTGGTCCTCCAACAACTCAAAAAATTCTTCTCATCATAAAAGATCTTTAAAAATGTAACAAATAATCTAATACTTCCGCTTTAAAGGGTGAATCGTTGGTTAGCACTGCTATTAACAAGGCGAAAGAAACCGTTTGTAAAACAAGTCAGTTGAAACATTAAGTTTTCGGTTTTTAAAGAATTTTTTATACTGTTGATTAATTTTCAAAAGACACCTCTGAGCTGTACACTTTCCAAACTCATCTAAGTTTCAGTCGATGGAACACTGATGGATACAACAGCCTGTGATACTATTACAAAAAAATCGAAAGGTTCATAAATTTGTAGAAGTTTTACCCTGAAAAATTTTAGTGCTTCGTTTGCCTTTTTTTCTTCCAAATTTGAGAGACTGTAACTGTTTTTTTTAATTATGTTATTTCATAAATCTATTGAAAAGTAGCCTAGTGACAATGATTTGCAGAAACCAGCAGTAGTCAGGCTATGAGGCTATATCAGGCAGCTGTTGAAAAATTAGGCTCAATTTTGGAGAACGGCAAATCTGCTCTATCTGAATATCTTGAAGGACAAGTCCAAAAAAGTGAATATTATTATATTTCGTTAGTGGAGGGGTTTTTTTCGCTCAGAAATTGTACGCATAGATATTTGAGTTCTAAGTGTCGAATCTCATAATAAAGTGATTGCAGAAGATACAGTTACTGGAGCTTATGAAGCCTTGAAGTCCTTGAAGGATGCATTGGTTTCTACAGGAAGCGAAGTCAATTCGGCATTCTCGAACCTGGGTAGTGCGCAAACCTATGGTACTGCAGCCGACTATTTCGAATTGATGTCTAAAACACATATAAACTTTTTCATTGAAAACTTATCGAGTTGTCTTCAGTTCCAATAACCATCAACTCTAAAATTTATTGAATGAAATGACCAGATAGGATGTAATGGAGAACTAAAAATAACTTCTGCTTATTTCAGTCGTAGACGCGCAACGTTGGTTGATGAGTGTCTATAATGATTTTATGGATAAGCTGAGAATCGCTGGTTTGGGTGATGGCGATTTTGTTGAAGACTTCAAGGGAAAAAATGCGAGGGATGTTGCAACATCGGAGGGCCCGGAAAATGCACCGTCCAATGAACAAAGACGAGACAGTGACGTTGAGTCTGATAGTAAGCTTCTATTACTGTTTTCTGGCCATTATGTGGTATCTTTTTTGTTATAGATCCCTTTATTTTGGATGTAATTCGGTAACAGGTCATTTGGAGGCTCAAGCATCTAAGAAACTTCAGCTTTAAACGATTTGTGTCAAATGTTAATTGTGACGTTTTGCAGAAGACGGTGACTTTGAAGCAGACGATATCTATTCTGGTCTCCAAGATGCTTACGAGCGAGTTTCTCAAGCTGCTGCCATGGCTTTAGAGAAAGCTTACACTAAGATAAATGATTTAAGTAAAGAGGCCATGAAGGCAGCGACTGGTAGTGATGACCTCTCAGGTATCTGGCAGAGAGATTTTGTTCTCTCTCAGTTCAACTTTATACTATAATTCTGATATCTGCTTGGGAATAAAAAAATTTCTATTTCTGTTCTGGTAGGACTTTAGAGTTTAGGCTATTATCATCCTTTTTTATTTTGTTACTCAGAAGGACAATTTGCAGACTTGTCACTGGAAAAGGCTCAGCAGGCAGTTGGCGACATGAAACAGAAAGCTGCAGACGTTTTAGGGAAAGCCAAGGATGCCGCTGTTCATCTCGCTGGAGAACGTCTTAAAGGCTAGCTTTTTAACTTAGTTAAGTCGATTTTTTCGATCGGTCAGTCATTCCTTTCAAATGATCGCAATTCAGGTGGCGGAGAAGAACCAAGTTTATTGCAAGGTGAAGAAGACCAAACTAAATTTGCTACTTTTGAGGTAAGAGTTTGGAAAATATTAGTGTTGGAGGAGTTGCTAAATCATTTGAGGTTTCTTCATTTTAGTGAAAGTTTGTCGTGTCGTTACTTCGAAAGCTTTTTTGTATAAATTAGACCACAATATTTAGGATACCGTCCTATCTCGTAATGTACCGGCTTCTAACAATGACAGTATCGAGACTATTGAAACGGCGACGAGTAGGTATTATGTGCACATTTGCAGCGCAGGCTTTTTGTTACTTTTATATCTAGCTCTTTAATTGAGTATAAGTTTCAAGTGTTTACCTTGGATAGTAATGTGGATGATTTTTTACAGAAATATTTTAGGTTTTTGGCATGACCCCGAGAGACAGAATGGGATCAATCTGGATGAGGAGTAAAAAAATATGAGATTTCTACAGGGTAGTTTTCACCGAAATCGCTATGAACAACTTAAATTGCGATGCAGAATTACACGGTTTTTGAAAGCGGGATCTATACAAACCATCAAATAATCCGTTTGTAATTATCAATGTCCTGCTGAGGAAACAACCTATACTTGTATGTTTTATCCTGGTGTGTATTATATAGTTGTTTATTCATGTACATATATGTAGATACTGACTGTTACAACGTAATACATTTGTTCAATAGTTTATAGAGGAACTAGAACATTTGTATGGAACAGTTCAAAAAAACTGCCATTTTGGCTTTGCGAAGTTTCGTAAATCGAGAACTTCGTGCTGTTCTGTCGACTGTAAATAAATTTGTAAATAGCAGCAGGTGCTTGTTGCAATTGATCAATGGAAAGCAGTGTGGAGAATGAGTAGTTTTATATGCGACAGAAGTTTAATTCAAGATTTATGCTGATTTTAAACAGTTTAATTAAGGCATACTACGATCTCTTGGCCAAAAGCTCATTGTAGGGTTCAATAACGTCCCCATTTTGCATATACTGTCTTAGTAAGTGAAAGAAAAGAGCTAATGTACTTGTCCCCTATGTCAACTTATTCGTCAGGTTGGAATGGCTGCTGTTGTATGGCAGCAACAAAAAATTTGGCTGAGGTTTTCATCGATATTTGTGAAGGAGCTATTTTTAGTAAGTGTTCAAAAGTCTGCAACAGTCAACGGAACTAGAGAAGACAATTTAACTGTTGATGATCTATTATAGACGGGCCAGCGTATCACAATGCTGGGCAATGATCGATTTATGCATGCTTTGGGCAAAAGAAATAATGAAGAGTGTGGATCATTGTTCTGCCGGCGAGACTTTTTTCACTGAAACTGAAGGCAAGAATTTATTTCAAAAATTACATTTTCAAGAGCTGAAGCTAATTAATACATAATCCTATGCTAATATCAGCGATGTTATCCATTGTATTGTTAAATGGAATCAGCTCATTGGCAACCGTGAGTCATGTTCAAAAAATTCTGAATTCCTTCTGGACCGTACTCCGTCTCGTAAACCGATGTGAATACCCAATGACCCTTAAACGCAAAATTTTTGCTTATATATTTTCGATTACAATAGTAGCTGCAAGGTTATTGTTAATATTACACTCAACCGACAGTCATAACAACAGCATTATTTTGGAAGGAGTGGAGAAGAGGAAGGAAAGGGGGAATTAAGTTACCTTCTCCAAGACGTTTTTTGATCGAATTACCAAATTTTTTCAGCCATCCAGCGTCAGACGAATTGTTTAGCAGGAATACAAAAAAAATAGACAGCAGAAAAGTATGCTAAAACATTTCCTTATAAATGTATTTTACTGACTTTTGTCTTATTATATAAGCTTTAGATAAGAGTGCTGAGGTAGAAAACGTTTGACTTTCCGCTGCATTAAGACGCCTTCGCTCAGAGTGAGTTTGAACGGTCAACAAATCTGAGATTTCGGTAGACAACTTCTTTATTGAAAAGCTTTCTCCCCAGGTACAGACACCCTTCACAGTAATAGCGGCCGACAAATTCAGTAGTTTACGGTTGGGCTAAATATGGTGCTTTGTAAATGACGGTACTCAAACAGTTCTGTATTTTATTGATACAAGGGCCCACTGGTACATAAAAACATCATTAAAAATACTGGCTGTTATTTTCCGTTCATTTCTGATGATATTTCAAACTCTAGCCCTATAGCGTTTTCAATGACCAATTTATTTATTTATTTACTTCTATTTGCTTCTTACCAAACAGCGTTCGGAAGAAACGGTTTTTCGAACACAGAAACAATCACTAATATAAGATGTGCAATACGAAAATGTACCCTGCAATAAATTAATGTCCAGCCAAAACAAAACTGGATCAGAAATTTAGTTTAGGTCGATCAAAAAACGTAGTTAGCTAACTGAAGCTTGCTAAAAAAACCCCCTATTAAAGCGTTGATTGCAATGTTCAGTATTTTTAGAAGATGGTAGTCAAGTGAAGGAGAGTTTAGGAAAATCAGGTGATGCGTGATATCTGTTATAACCTAACTAAAGTGCTGACGACCAAATGGAAGTAGAGAGAGTTTTGACCGATTGCACCAAAGGGAACAACGTAGTACTTGTTGAAAGCCAGTACTAAACAGATACAACATAAGCGTAAAAATTCCCTCAGAATCTGCCGCGATTTCGCTAAACTATATTCTAAATAATTTAATTTCAATGCGTACTAAAATTCAGTAAAAAAGTGAGAAGGAAAATCTTATGTTACATCTTGAAACTTTTATTTGTCGACTTTTTCGGCAAATTTCATCCTCTGCTTCAGCTATATTTATATTATTCGAAAAAATTATTTTTGTGTTTGCATGTAGTTTGCTGTAACACTGTATCAAATAATACAGTTCTAATGACGTATCTTAGATGCCATTTGTCTAGTCATTTTCTTTTTTTTTTTTTTGCCTTCTGCTTCTCCCATAATTGATTTACGCAAAAAAAAAAATCCTTTATTCAGCTGCTTTTAAGTTTGCGGAAATGTTTTATGATTTGTTATGATTCAAGTAATGTATCTCAGATGCCATCAATTATTGTTTTATCATTCCTTTCAAAAGAGATTTCTATATTTGTAAAGGGGTCAGCTGTTCTGAAACAGTGTTCTTCAGCCGCTATATTATTAATTACGACAGTCATTTCATCAGTTTTTCAACTCCAACCGAAATTTTTGTGACATTCAGGCTACAAAATTATTGCACCCACTGTTTCTTGATCTTATTTTTTCTAACTTCAGTTTTTTCAACCAAACTATAAAAAACAAGATCTGCTTTGAAATGTCAAATACTGCCGCAGCCTTAACGTTCAGTTAACTACAAATTTCTTCAGTAGCAAAACCAGCGACACCTCATAAATGTCTTTTGTTTTGCCCAAATTGAAGTAACATCCTTTACGAAAGGTTTGAAAGTTCGATGAATGCTTAGGAAAAAGACCAGTCTGAGAAAACCCATATTAGGTCCCACTCTTGCCTTTTCTCCCAAACTTTCTTCCCGATATTTATCCCGGGCAAATAACTTGCAGCTTTACAATTCCAACAGCACCCCGAATTTGTCCCTGCATTTAGCGCAATTTAATTTCAAGACTATTACTGTCGCCCACTAAACAAATCACAGAAAGAATGACACCTATTGTCAAAAATGAACAACCGGCTTTCTAAGTTTAAGTCAACTAAAAAAACAAACCCCGCATGTATTCCTTGACGGACTGTGCAGCGCACGAAGAAAACTCAGCAAGAGAAAAACAAACTTCAAGATAGCCTAAAATTAGTGTCTCTCACGCAGTGTCGTTCTGCAGCTTCTGCTTCATTAAATAGTTTTGTACTAACTGCAGTCAACGCAGGTGATACGACATGTACTAAGTACGTTTGGTACTACACTAATACCCACAAAAAATAAATTTTAAATAGATGTTCTACACGGTCATTATACAAGTACGAGATCACAAACAGGTAAGCGGCAAACTCTGGCTCAATTTTTAGTACGACTATAATTGAGGAGGTGGGGCACAAAAGTATTCTAGCCACAGGCTCAGACTGTTTTAAACTAGGAATATAAAATTTAGGGAAGAATGGTTACAAAGATGATAACAATTTTAACTTTCATAAGCGATCAGAAAACAAGCAACAACTAATCAGTTAAAAATTTTCCAAATCATTGTGGAATTTCTTATAAATAGAAATCTGTAAAAATACCCTGAATCAACAAGATGGAATATCGATAAGATTTTGAGCGTATCATAGCAACTTGAAAAAGTCCAAATACTCAGATCCAGTAAGAGTCAATACAATAAGTTTTAAAAAAAGATGTGTGAAAGAAATGAAAAAAGCGCAAACAAATCAAACATCCGTCTCCAGAAATAAAGAACACCTGGTAATAAATTAACATAAATCTTCCTAAATCAACCCAAATTAAACCGCAAATCCCAGCTATCGAAGAACTGACTGACGTCTTGAACAATGTTTCATATCCACAAGTTCTCGGTCTCCATAAAAAGAACTCCGAGTATTTCTTGTTGGTCGTCGAACAGCAGGGCTGCGAGTATTGCCAGCTTCGTGAGCTAGCTCCACACCACTTTGTTCGACGCTCGCATCCAAAATACCAACGCTACGCACCCACTCTTCAGACACAGCTGAGCGAGTTAAATGGTCCCTTATATTGCGGAGTTCGGCAGACAAACGTTCCTGCACAAGTGGGTTCATTTGTGCAGTCGAGAGGTCACCTAAATCATAAAACTCGGAAAAAACAACAGAAAAACACTCACTAATACAATAAGAAAAGAAGAATGGAAAGTCAAAAGTTTAAGCAATTAATTTACCTATACAACCTTCAATACGTTCAGCAGCAACTTTTGCAACCAAATTAACTGCATTCAACCGAGATTGCAAACTCGCAACTTGCTCTTTCAAAAGATTAACCTCCTGAACTGACAACACTTAAAACTAAAAAAGCTGCAGTACGGCAAAAAAAGCTTGTAAATCTAAAATATAACTTTCGAGTCAAGTTATAACTTTCGACTGAAGAAAGCAATAAAACTGTGATAAAAATCAACCTCTTTTAATAAACTTACGTTTGACGAAAGTCTTAACGGTTCAGATGGTACACTAGAAGGCAGAACTGAAAGTAAAAAGCCCATTGTTTCAATTTTAATTTGACATGACTCCGACATTTAAAGCCGTTTAAAAAAGACCCTGCAAGGTTTCTTTCACCAAATAAGAGAGATAATTACTTACCATTACTACTTCCTCGCTCGACCACATTATCAACAAGTTTTGATACGGAATTGTGAATCTTCTTGAACTGTGACGTGCCGGGCCCTCTACCATCTATAGGTCGAAACAAACGATTTACTGAACTTGTACGACCAACCATTTCAGGCCGATCTCTATTCGGATGTACTGCCCCAGCAATAGTAATATCAGTATAGTTTGCTACCTCAGGTTGTTTAGGTTTAATATACTTCTAGAATCAACCGTCATAAACGTTACTCAGCAAACATTCTTTCCTTTAAAAAAGAGAAGGAAAGAAATAAAAATCTCCAGTTTGTTGAGATGAGTGTACACTTACTTTTGGTGATTTTATGTGCAAGGCAAGCTGAATAAAAGCGTGAACATCTACGACAGGAGGGTATCGCATTAAATATTGCAAGCAAGTTGTATAATCGTTCCCAATAACTAAATTTAGATCCACTTGAAAAAAGTTGAGCCGTTATCGCGAGTTCCTAATTGAGGAGTAAAAATTTATTAAAAGCAATCACCGAACAGAAAAAAAAACTCACGTAAATGTCTTATCTGCTCCAAAAATGCAACAAACAAATAATCCACAAGTGATAACAAGGGTCGGCATGAGAAAATAGCATCCCAAACGTACAATACGTCATGTATGGTAAATTCTCGAGAAAAAAGAAGTCGTAACCAACGACTAAAACTTCCCAAATGCTTTTTATGATGTCCAGCTATAGTAACTTATCAAACGTTGAACTTCCTGTTCAAATCAGTATTAGCCATCTAATCAGTAAATAATGTCAAAAAAGACTTTTTGCTTACATGCCATACAATTGAGGATGAATCTCTAATTTGTTGAGATGAGCGTACAAAGTCGGATCGACATGAGCAAGAATTTTTTCTCCTATATACCGAAGCTTGCGTAAAAGTTCGCTATTGGGAACAACATCACCTACTCTACAAAACGACTCAACAACCCCATCAATTGATGCTGGCGCCAGTGTTAGTTTTGAAGTAGATTCTTCTGCCGGTAAATACCAACCCTCTAGTAGCATCATCAACTGGGAAAATAGATCGCTGAAAGTTTTAATATTTTAAAATACCACGTTTGGAAAGCAGTAGTTAAAGACGTTTGAAAAAACAGTTGAAAAGATTCTTTTTTTCTCACTCACAATGCATCGTTTTCCAAATAACTTGGATTGAAAAGAGAATGAAGACAGGTGACATCCTCAGGCAATAATTCACTGAAAAACTCTTACTTATTATGGTCTCTGAAGAGCTAAAAACTAAAATACTTCAGCTGATGAGCACCTTAGACCATTTTGTTCAACAAGATGCCCAAATGACTGCAAATCGAGATAAACCACAAACAACAAAGAAGCCAATATTTCGTGCATTCCCTGCAACATTGGCCTTTACGAACCACCGCTCTGCAAAATTTGAAAAAAAATTTGCTCTTTTGTTGCCCATTTGGAAAAAAATTGAACGCATTTGATTTAGAAGTCCCGAATGTTCTAAATAAAAATTCGGAAAAGTAATACTGAGAAGAAAAATTACTTGTTTATAAGATATATGAGGATGACTTTTAGCGTAGACAAATAGAATGTTTAACAAAATTTGTCGAGTTTCCTCATTACAAAAAAATTGTACTTCATTAAACCTGAAAACATTAAACTATCTTTTCTCCATCTAAAATAAAAAGAATTATCATCTGGCATATCTAAGGGCCTGATCCCGAAATTGAACTAACGTTCGTCTGACATCCTTCCCAATGCAATCGCGTAACTCACAGTCCTCAAAGTACTGTTGCCACGGGCTCTATAACTGAAGAAGATGAAAAAGCTGAGCAGCTCTAGACAGAACAATTAAACCTGTCTTGTAATCAGAAAAGTTTAAAACATCATGCCACTAAAAAAACTAACTTCTTTTTCCTGAGAAAGAGGATTACTTAGTTCAATACCTAACGATGAAGACTCTATGTTATGCGGGTCTATAACCGTCTGCAAAAAAATATAATTAATAAATGGCACAATGAACAGTCGAGAGCCGGTTGAACTTATATAGGGAACCTCTTTCTTTAGCATCTCATAACGTGTACGATTTCGAGCGAGGATTGCGTTCCATTCTTGTCGATCAAAAGGCAGGCTCCTCAGTAAAACCTGACAATATTAATGTTAAAAAATGAAGCATGAGTTTAAAGAAGTTTTTGATAAGCTGTCAATAATTCGAAAAAAAAAAGAAAGCAAAAAATGAAGACTAACTCTCCAAACAACTGAACGAATACGTGAACCACGTAACCTTCCTTCGATGCAGAGCTTCTCAAGCGATTCTAAAGTGACGCTGCTACCAAAAAATTCAGCCCATTCCTCACTACGAGTAACTTTGTTATTACATTACGAGCAGTAACAGTAAAACTTTGCTATCAGTTCTCTAGGTTATTACTAAATGCCGTTATAATACTGTGCGCTTAATTTCCTTCCTAGATGTAAAACCAGTTGAACAAAATAATCTTGAAACCAACAACATGCCTGAATAAGACTTGCTGTGAATTATGTGGGTTTGCAACATTCAAAGGCGGGGTAACAATCATTTGATACAAAAATTTTAGAAATTTATGTTGTTTCAATGGTTATTATAGGGATCCTAACTTTTGATAAGCAGTTTTACATGGTTCATCTAAATCAGTTGCATTTGGTCGGTTGAAAAAAGCGCCCTTAATTCTTTTCCTAAAAAAAAAAAAAAAAAA